ACCAACCCTAATAGAGTTTTGTTCTGTTAAGAGTTGAAGCCAATTCAGCACAGGGTTTCTAAACCTTGGAGTGTTTCTCAAGAGTATTATGAATTCTTTCCGAGAACTGCTCAGTTGGTTGAGGTTTCTTTGTGGTCAGGAAGATCTCTTCTTTTATTAGGGGCCGGGGGTTTGTTTTGAAGAAGGCAGAGGTCATTTGATCACCCACACAATCTAATTCTGAAAGAATTGACAGTTGAGCACATTTTTCTCTACATATAAGTTATACGTTTCAGAACGAATGTTCATTTCTCTTTTGTAGGTAAAAGAACTCCCTGGCGGGGGATCCTACTTTTTGGACCTCCGGGAACAGGAAAGTCCTATTTAGCCAAGGCTGTAGCTACAGAAGCAAACAACTCCACCTTCTTCTCAATATCCTCTTCAGACCTTGTGTCAAAGTGGCTAGGCGAAAGTGAAAAGTAAGTATGCTTGATTCATTACAATATGTTTAGAAATGTTGGATAAACTTTTTGTGTGTGGTATATTTCTTTTTCATTCAGTGCATTTGTTAACCGAAATGGAAATTTTAAAAATGAAACAAATAAAAAAAAATTGTCAGGCCGAAACTGATATCGAAAATTGTTTTTATTTTAATTTGTTCAAATTTTTCAAATATTTTATTTTTTATAAACTTTTTGATTTTGTTTATTTTTTACTTTTAGGGGCTTCAGGGAAATATTAGGGTCTAAACAGACCCCTGATATTTCCTTTTTAAAATAGAAAAAGAGATTGAGGACACAAAGTCCTCAATCTCTTTTTCTGTATCCCCGTTATAAATGAAGAGGAATCCTCTGAGTGTTCCTGTTCATTCATAACATGAGGACAGAGTATGTTTACTACAACTACGAATGAACAGGAGAGAATGTAGATCACTCCCATTCATTCATAATTGAGGATATGGTCAACATACCATGTCCTCAATAATGTACAAACACTCAGCAATCATTGATCACTGAGTGTTTGTACCTTACTCTTCTCTCTGACACGCTGTCACAGGAGGCTGATCGAGCGGTGTAGGGAGGAGAGCTCAGCCTCCTGTGACAGCGCGGCCTGTCTCCGCCTACACACCGCTCTGCCGGACTGTAATAAGAGGCTGAGCGGTGTGGGAGGAGAGACGCCGGCCGATCGCAGCGCTCTCCTCCCGCTGCACTCGGTCGGCTGTCACAGTTTCTCTCCTCCCCGCTGGGACACTGAGCAGCGCCCAGCGGGGAGGAGAGAAATCGCCGATGTAGCAGCAGGAAAATGGCACTTTGGGCATTATGCCAAAAGTGCAATTTTCGGCCGATATGTTTCGGCGGCCCATATATCAGTGCATCCCTACTATTTTGTACAGATTGCCAACATTGTTTACATGCTTTCTGAGACTTCAATGCTTGTGTTTCAGGTTGGTAAAGAATTTATTTCAGCTTGCCAGGGAACATAAGCCCTCAATCATCTTTATTGATGAGGTTGACTCACTGTGTGGGTCAAGAAGTGAGAATGAAAGTGAGGCAGCTCGCAGAATTAAAACAGAGTTCTTGGTACAAATGCAAGGTAAGATATATGACTTTTCTAACCCCTAATCCTGAGCAGTTATGACTTGAGATTTCATTCAGTTTTTCTTCCATTAAAAAAAACAGGTGTTGGAGTTGATAATGAAGGCATCTTGGTTCTTGGAGCCACAAATATACCATGGGTATTAGATTCAGCCATCCGGAGGCGGTAAGCTTCATTTTTGTTAAAGGTGGTGGTGTTTTTTTTATTTCACTGATTATGGAGTGTTATTATTACAGTTATGAATTGGTGAGATACAGAGCTTTATGATGCGTATAATTGTAATCCATATAGATATTACTACATCTTCCGTCAACATTGTTGTACTGCTGTGTTGTTAATATATTGACACTTAAGATGTGATGCTTAAAAAGGAACTATGGCCCAACCTTTTTTGGCCATGGTTCTCTTTATGGTCACAGGAGGACTTTTACTATGCCCTCCTGTGACCCAAAACTCAGCATGTAGTTGGCTATTGTTCTCGATTTTATAGAGCCGACATGTAATAGCTGCAGTGTCGCACGTTGGCTCTAATTATGGGAACAAGCCTATTTATTTTATTTTTTTTTCTCCCCGTAGTTTGTCCTTTTAGTGAACATGTAGACCAGGACCTAGACAAAACCAAAAAGGGCACAGGACGGGTAGAGGGGGAGATCTCAAATGTTTCATTGCAGCATAAGATATGTGGAAGACATGTATGTGAGGCAGAGAGCATACCATATCTTCTATAATTGGGTTGCAGTTTTTGCTTTTGTGTTTTTTGTGAAGGGAGCCATTAAATTAGTGGCATTATTGAAGAAAAAAATATTCTTTAAAAGCGTTCCAGCATGTCTATATTCAGTAGTAGCCTCGTGAGGGGTTTTGACATCATGAGTTAGTTCTTCAGTTAGTCCTGTGTGTTTTAATTTTGAACACCATATTTTAGGGAGGGAGTGGAGTGGAAGAGGTTTTCCAGTTTACTGGTCTACAGTTGTTTTGGTTGCATATAGTCTACACTGGAGGAAAGGAGAGAGGAGGGGGAATGATAATCACCGCTCTCTGCAAGGAGAAGATCAGGAAATGAGCGATTTTAACGGTATGTGATCGCTCAATTCTCGATCAATAGCCGACGTGTGACGGCTCTAATTCTAGGGATGAGTGTGTTTCACACTCCCCATAATTCTCCTCCTTTTAAGTAGTGTTTCTGCTCGGTTAGGCTCCAAAAGTGTGTGTAGAGGTTTTTGAAAGGTTTGTAAATGTCTCCAAAAGTTCAATGTATGGCACCTCCACTGTTCCTTCAAATCTCGTAGGATTTTATTTAATTCTGGAGTACTCTTGCTGTAATGCTAGATTTTGGTATTTTGAGCCAGTGTTGGAAAGCTTTATCCTGTAAGCCTATCCTGGAAATATTTATAGCCTATAAGGGGTTACAGTGGGAGCTTTCTAGTTGTAACAGGGGTACAATGTATCCCAAATGTCTTTTTAGGGAGTGGGTACTAAGGAAGATCTGTTCTCTTTTTCAGATTTGAGAAGCGAATATACATTCCCCTTCCAGAAGCACATGCCCGAACAGACATGTTCAAACTTCATCTTGGAACTACAGCTCATAGTCTAACAGATGCAGACTTTCGAGACCTGGGAAAAAGGACAAATGGTTACTCTGGTGCTGATGTCAGCGTAATTGTGCGAGATGCCCTAATGCAGCCCGTCAGGAAAGTTCAGTCTGCCACTCACTTTAAAAAGGTACGTTGCCATTTCTGACTTTACTAAGTACAGATCATGGCTCTGCATTTGTAGCATTATTAGTTGGAGACATAAGGGGATGACAGCTTGACTTATTTTTCTGTAAAAAAAAAAAATTTGTGCTTCAAGTTAAGCTAAATACCTGATGTAATATCCATCTTTAATGGTAACTTTCAGAGGTACACAGTCTTGGCATTTTACAGTAAAATAGTCGATGTATGTACATACAACTGAGATTTGGCTAGGTGATAGATGGCTTTTTTATTATCTCTTCTGCTGTATTGAAATGTGAGTGTACAGATCTTTGGTCATTCTACTTGCATGCATTTTTCACAATGAATTGTGTGGTTGCTTTTTATAGCCGCTAGGGATGCACCGATACTGTTTTTCCGGTATCGAGTAAGAGTGGCCATATTTTGCTTTCAATAGTCGCCGATGCCAAGTACCGATACCGATGTTTACGCTGGCATGGGGCTTGCTTCCCAGCCAGTCGGGAAGCCGGGCGGCAGGTAATAACATGCCGCCCGGCTTCCTGATTGCCAGAGAAGCCAGCTCCATATTGTTTGGCCAGCTCAATGCTGATTGGCTGGGAAGCCGGCTTCCCAGCAAATCAGGAAGCCGGTAGTTGGGTCATTACTCGCCTCCCGGCTTTCTTATTGCCTGGGAAGCTGGTTCCCCCTATGGTACTGCCAGTCAGAAGAAATCTTCCTCGGAACGGAAATTCCGGTATCTGGGGAAGGTATCGGACCATTTGGACGAGTGCGAGTAGTCGCCCTAATACTCTGTATCGGCACCGATACTAGTAGCGGTATCGGTGCATCCCTAATTAGCCATCTCTGTTATCTCACTACAGATTAGGGATGCACCGATACTAGTATCCGAGCCGATGCTGAGTATTTGGGCGAGTACTCCTACTCGCCCAGATGCTCCAATGCCTGGTCCGATACTTCAGCTTCTGATATCAGGATTCCGGGCAGCGAGTTGAATACACGCTGCCTTGCTTCCTGATTGGCCAGGAAGCCAGCTCCATGCTCCCTCGTCAACAAGTGACGAGGAAGCATGGAGCCGGCTTCCCAGCCAATCAGGAAGCCGGACACCGTGTAATCAAAAGTCCATGTATCCTCATCGCACTCCTGACCGGAGAATGCCCAATATAGCAGGGCGGGTGCAGCAACAGATGCCTCCATCAAAACATACAAAAAATGAAAAAAGTCACCGACACTCCGAATAATCAAGTCAATAAGTTTATTGACCCAAGTGATAACACCTCTGGCAACGTTTCGGGACCATGCGGCCCCTTTCTCAGGCAAATGGGTAATGACGCGTTGCCTGGCTTCCCGATTGGTCGAGAACCTGGCCAATCGGGAAGCCGGGCAACGCGTCATTACACGTCGCCCGGGTTTCTGATTGGCCAGAAATCCGTCTCCATGCTATCTCGTCACCTGGTGATAAGGGAGCATGGAGACAGCTTCCTGATTAGACGGTACACGCCAAGTGGCGACTCATTACACGCCGACCTGGCTTCCTTAATGGGACTTCCGTTATTTATTATTCGATATCTGCGAGTACCGGGGAAAAAAAATATTGGTACTCGATACTGAAAAAACGGTATTGGTGCATCCCTACTATAGATGTTGGGTACATTATTTCTATGAAAAACATTTAATTTAGATTTATTACATTGAAGGACACCTATGCTTGCCTTTTTAAATGTGTTTTTTTTATTGCTGTATTTCATGCAGTAAAACTTTGTTTATTCAATCAGCATGAAGTTTTTGTAAAATCCTATGGATAATATTTTTTTTTTAATGACATTATGTGTAATGTTTCCTTTTTTTGTGTATTCCATTGCCTCATTTTCCTAATTGAATGAAGTCCTAGAACGGTAACAGAAGCATGTCATTTTTTCTAGGTTCGAGGGAAATCTCCTCTAGATCCAGATCAAATCTGTGATGATCTGCTTACTCCATGTTCTCCTGGAGATCCGAATGCCGTTGAAATGACATGGGTGGATGTACCTGGAGATAAGTTATTGGAACCCATCGTGGGCATGGTTAGTCAGAACAAACAAAAACTGGTTTTATTTGGATAAATCTAGTTTTTATTTTCTGCACCTTTTTCAAACATTGCTTTTTAAATTTTCAGTTATCTCATTCCTCTTTCTCTAATTAAGAAAAGATTACTGTAAGCAGTACCTAAGGGAGTCCTCTTCATTCTAGCGTATTGTTTGGGGGGCAGAGGAGATGTCTCTGTTTTCTTAGCAGCTGTCTCATTGGATCTGATAGTTCTGTCTATAGAAGAGTTCTAAACATAAGCTGCATTTGCTTTGGGTCTTCTGTGGCCTCTACTGTTAAGGTGCCCATACACCTTACAACCATCGCAAGACTTCTTGCGATGGTTGTAAGCTAATTAAAAGCTCGTACGATCTGCCCATCTTGGATAGGCAGATCGTACTTGCGATGACCGCAATGCAGAACCGGCAGTGTGCGCGTGTGCACACCGGCCCGTTCCGCAGTTGTCGAACGAGCAGGCTAGAAATTCGCCGAGAATCATAAGATTCTCGGCAGATTTTCTAGCATGCTGGTTCGACAAACGCGCGACCTACAGTAAAAACGGTCGCACGTCTTCCATACACCTTGCGATTATCGTATGATCGCGGGATTTCCCGCGATTATCGTACGAAAATTACAAGGTGTATGGGCACCTTTAGACTGTAATTGCTAAAAAGGACCGTTTTATCACATGATATTCCTTTTGTTGTTTCTTGACCTTAAAGTATACAATCTCCTATTTTGTATTTGCTGCTATTTTAACTTGAGAGATTTTTTTTTTTTACAGCAATCTAGTAAACTGCAGGAACTATGATGAAGCATGAATAAAATCTGCTATAGTGCAGCTGTGTGTGTGTGTATGCAGTAATGCATGCACATTTTTGGGAGTCCTCTTTCTTTGCCTGCAGTTACATTACTTCTTACATTCATGTTTTGTATTACTTCAATGCCGCAGTATTGTTTGGACAGCAGATTGCTGCTTGTCATTACTTGCATATAATATTCCTTTAGAATGAGTCATGTGATACTGGAGATAGTCTCCCAATAGCAGTTACATTATTACAGCTGTGACTTCACTATTTCTCAGTCTGTTATTCAAGATCGATTATAACCATCTAGAAAATTACATGCAGTGCATCTAGATTAGTGTCCTTGCTGAGAATGCCACACCTATACTCGTTTGCCTTTTGTATTGACATCAGTTTCTTTTCAAGCCTTAGCTCTTGCCAAGTTGTCTGTGGGGCGGATTTATCAAAACTGGAGCAGTTGCCCATGGCAACCAATCAGCTTCTCTTCAGTTTGTTCAGTTTGAATTTCAAATTGAAAGAGAGAAGCTGATTGGTTGCCATGCACAGCGGGCTGCTGTACAAGTGATTTGGGCAGATCACTTGTACGAAAAAGAAGCAGCGCAAACCCATTTAAAACCCCGGCGCTATGTGTTTGGGCATTTTTAAGAGTACAAGTACTTGTGAAAATGTCCTATCGGCACCGATACTGTATTGGGACATCCCTAACTGCAAGTATCCTAGCATTGGATGAGGCAAATATTTTGCTGCCCCCACCTGCCACTGTGGTTTCTACTTGTATGGAGTCAAATACTTGCTCCCCCAACACCTGGCGGGAGCGATAAAAGGGAATCCGGATATACTGGGTGTTAAGATGGGTAAATACTGGGGATGTCCCGATGCCCCTTTTTCAGGCACAAGTACTTCACCTCATGTACTTGCCGATACCAATTACCGATACTTTTTTTTTTAAAAGGGACAGGTGACTTTAAATGATCCATAGTACAACTACATGTTATGTACTATGGATCATGATTTAACCTATTCATGTTAGCAGGGGAGAATTGTAAATCTATTGTAGTGTAGTGGAGCTGTATATATGTACTACATATACATTTACACACGTCTAGTACACTATAGCAATAGATTTACAGCCAGCCCCATCCCAGCTTCCCTCACTCACAGTTTCACTCCGATCCCGGTTGCCTCACGCAGTGCCTCTCGTAGTCGGCGCTGGGCAGGATCGCTGCATCGCATCTCGGGGCTCAGCTTGTGGGAGGCGCTCACAATTCAGCCCTGCTAACATGAATAGGTTAAATCATTATCCATAGTACATATACAGTACACACGTCCAGTACACTGCAGTAATAGAGTTACAATTATCCCCTGCTAACATGAATAGGTTAAATGATCCGTAGTACATAACATGTAGTTGTACTATGGATCATTTAACCCATTCATGTTAGCAGGGGATCATTGTAAATCTATTACTGCTGTGTACAGATAGAATGCAATGCAGCAATAGATATACAATTCTGCACTGCTAACATGAATGGGTTAAATGATCCATAGTACAACTACATATTATGTACTACGGATCATTTAACCCATTCATATTAGCAGGGGATAATTGTAAATCTATTGTTGCAGTGCATACTATACATAGTACATGTACATATAGAGTGCACTGCAACAATAGATTTACAATTATACTCATGTCCCTGTATATAAGATTACAGCGCAGGGGTGGCCTCAATCAGCCATGATGGTCTTGCATCATATGTTCTGCGTGTGACTCCTGAGATGAAAAGAAATGCCATTGATAAGCTTGAAAGGTGGTCAAAGGTGAGACCACCGTGCATTTTGGGACATGTGGGATCTGTCTAGTACCTTTCTGAAAATGCTATGTTGCTAGGAGTATCTGTTTCTGTATGTTGTATATTTCAAGTAAACTTAACTTTATTCTATAAAACCAAATATTTGCTTCCCCCACCTGCTGCTGTGGTTCCGACTTCAACTTGTATGTCCTGTAGTGACCTTCGAGCTGGCGGAAGGAACCACGGGAGCTAGAGGGGGAACAAGTATTCTACACATCTGGAAGTGTTGCATATTTGCAGCTGCTGGAGAAGCAGCGTATTTTTTTTTATATACTTCAATATACAGCCTGCCAGAAAGGCAAGTAAATTCTTCTTTTACAGGTAACATGTTTTGTAAAAGTGACCCTGTGGTGGCTTGGTCACTTTAACAGTATTCCATGAATTAACTGTAAAATTCTTTGTATTTCAGGCTGATATGCTGAGATCACTAGCTAACACCAAACCTACTGTAAACGATCAGGATCTGGAAAAATTAAAGAAATTTACAGACGACTTTGGACAAGAAGGATAAATTAGCATGCAAATAGATACAAGGTCACTTTTAATAGCCTTTTTTTTCTTTCTCCTATATATTCTTGCAACAATATACATGGCAAATACATACAAAATATTTGTCTGTAAAACTGATTTTTCAAGTTGCGTGGAAGTGATTTCAATCCTACCAAACACTTGCTGAGCTGTCACATATACCAGAATCTACTGTAAAGTATGTATTTAAAAAAACAAACAATATTCCTGCAATGACTTCAATCAACGTAAACACTACTATGTGTTAAGAAGAAGCACGTGGGACTACTGACCAAACATCCAAGGCCGTATTATTTGTACTAGTATGTGTAATACCATACAAGAACTTTATTGCTTGACCATTAAATAAAAATATTGGCACTTCTAAAATGTTATGATGTTGCTATACAAGAAAGTTTTGCTTTGCAAAAAAAAAGTCAGGGGCAATCCATAAATATGTGCAATCAGTCCTTTAGAGCAGCACTTAAGGACAGTAGATAAAATATTCAACAAAAATTAGTTTGTTGTAATGTTTTTGAAGCCTTCAGAATTGATCTTTAAAGCCTATCTATAGGGAAACCAAAAAACCTCTCCTTGCAGTGGGGCTGCCCCTGCATTGCTTGGGTATGCTGATTGTCTAGGGCAGGTTTAGCAAACCTCCGGCCCTCCAGCTGTGGTGGAACTACAAATCCCATGAGGCATTGCAAGATTCTCAGACATGACTCCCAAAGAGATGCATCATGGGATTTGTAGTTTCACCACAGCTGGAGGGCCGGAGGTTTGCTACCCCGGGTCTAGGGGATGGTCTTCAGGCAAACAGTGGGACTCCGTCTTACCAGATCCCTGCTCCCGCTGGCTCCAAGACCCAGTACCCGCAGCCTCTTCCTCATATTGTTCCCCCTTTCCCCGCTGCACTTCAGCAATCAAAGGCCCACTGATGCCCTCACGTACAATGCAGGGTCCTTAGCCCTGTATGATACGTTAGGACGCCGAGGGACAGTCCCTGAGCTGCAACGCAGAGAAGAGAGGTGTGCACCGACTGGTATGGAAGCTGGGATCAGGTAAGTAAAACTGCATTACACACTCTTCTAGACATAAACGAGCAGTTAACCCTTGTTGGTGTGCAGCTCTACTGCAAGGGGAGGTTTTTAGTTTCATTGGAAACAGGCTTTAACTATTTTACAGTTTATCCTTTTTAGTTTGTTTTCAGCAAGATAGTATGGATGTATATACCTTTTTTTATGTGGTGGTGTGTTTTTTGGATTTTTTTTGTTCTGTTGTTTTTTTTTTCCCTTCCCTTTTTTTTGTTCTAGAAGAATGTAACTGTTTAGATTCTTATGCAACTTAGTCTGTACATATATCTATTTTTTTATATTTCCAGACGCATAGATTTGTCAACCACATGCCAAAATATTACAGCAGGACTAAAAGGAATTGATTACAAGTGTGTACTCATCTTCCCTGTTCGAGTTTCAGAACTTAATAAGACAATAGTTGCAATCATGTTACAGCCCACAGGATTCTAGCACCCCAGAAAAAGAGGTTTTATTACTCCACATATGCCTTGGTTGAGTATGAGAAACATGCATACTGAATATTGGTGAACTCGGAGTGTAGCTGAATGTATTTTGCTACAACCCTGATAACAGGTTTGACCTAAGTAGTGCCTTGTAAGGTAGGTGGTTAGATTTTTGTTTTGGAATCCAATACATTCCATGGGCTAGTTTTTTGTTCTTAGCTGTATGTATTCAGTACCAATAATTCCATTAAGCTCGCTGTTTATGGAATTTCCCATTTCTGCAGTTATTCCTAATGACAGTCCTTGTTGACAACTGTTTGTTTTGGGCTTTTGTACTGTATGTGTAAAATCATAGAACTGTTGAATCATCTGTTTACTTCAATAAACTTCTATTCACTACAAGATACCATCTTCTATTTTTCTTTTGTATGTGTTTAGTATTTTTCTCTTGCTAGATGTAAAAAGCAGAAGCATCTGGCAAATGTCTCCTTTCATCAGTCAGTTTAGAATGGTCAAAATATTGGAAAGGTGTTGGTTACTTACAGATGCTATTTATCCTATTGGACGACGGCAGGCCTCTTCTTTCTTCCTTACACTGTGCGTCACACTGACCTCTGCGCTGTGCGTCACACTGACCCCGCGCTGTGCGTCACTCTGACCCCGCCATGTGCGTCACTCTGACACCGCCATGTGCGTCACTCTGACCTCTGCGCTGTGCGTCACTCTGACCTCTGCGCTGTGCGTCACATTACTGGCCTCTGCGCTGTGCGTCACATTACTGGCCTCTGCGCTGTGCGTCACATTACTGGCCTCTGCGCTGTGCGTTACATTACTGACCTGGCAGAGTTAAGTCCGGGGCAGGGTAGGGGTTAGGTGGGGCAACTGGTGGCGAGTAGCTCAGGACTTGAAATTTTGAGCCCTGGACTACGGTATACGTTGCAGATTTATTAGTGCATTTCTAAGCATGATGTTCTATAGCACATAGATAACATTTCAGTGTTCATCATTTTAAAGGAAGCATGTCATGAGATAAATATGGAGGCTTCCATTGCTAACTGTAAATGTTAAAGCCTGGCTGTCATTCCAAGCCTCTTCAATACTTTTGAGTCGCTGAGCTGGAACAAGTATAAATATAAGGGCTTCTGACTTTTTTTTTTTTGCTTTTCTCAAATTTTTCTGATCTCTATATTCCAGGTCAGTGATTAAAAGCATTGATTGCAAGTTTGTATCAACCTAGCAACTAACATTATCAGGAGAAATACAGTATGCATTTCGCTGCATGAATGACTCTCCATATTTATCTCATGACAGGTTTCCTTAACCCTTTCGCTACCAATTACATGTATCACACATCATGGTACTGGAAGGAAAAAAAACTTAAACCAAGCACGTATCAGCCAGCTCCTGGTTCAATTTTAGAACTGATTAGAGATCTCTCCTCTGTGCGATGAACATAGAAACATGATGCTCTGAGTATCTCTGGGTTCGCAACGGTCAGAAATTGGCTAATAGAGCACAGTGTTCTTAGGCTGAGTGCAGAGGTGACATCAGGAGTCTAATAGACAGGTACTCATTCTGGAGACACTAAAAATCGGCACAATGCTATCACATAGGGAGTTTGTAACCCTTGTGATAGCAATACAGTTTAGTAAAAAAATAGTTTTAAAATAAGTAAAAAGAACAAATTTAAAGCAACACTTCCCTTCCCTAGAACACCTTGGGCACACTTACCCGCATAAACCCAGATTGGACAACTCATTACACACAATGGCTCAAATGGTTGAAATGAATGCAGCTCTGTGCTAATTAATATATCATTACATCTATTTTAAAGTAAATGCAAGACGTGTAAGTACCTACATTTGAATAGGCATCAAGTTCTTGTAGTCCCTGTGCAGCAGAGCTCAGCAGGGAAGAGAGAAGCAGCACAAGGAGCCATTTAGGTGTGCCACAGTGCAAGGAACATACTGATTGGAGGACAGAAGAGTGCAAGATGAGCTCATGAGTGTGCTGCTTCTCCTTTTCCTATCTAGTCCTAGGGTGGGCAGGAGACCTGTAAGTGAACATGAAACAACAGCAGGAAAAGATCAGGTCACCTTGTCTATTCTGGGCTGTGCAGAACTAGAAGTACAGAAATACAAGTCTTTTAGTAGGTAAAATAGCTATCATATATGCATTTTCTTTGTGTGTTTAGCTGTTTGTCTACAGTTAAACTTCAGATTCAAATGGCAATGTGTTTTCTATAAATTCAGCAACATAAAATTGTTACATAGTGCCATTTGTACATTTCTTACATTTTATTCTGTATCCAGCAGTTATTTATGGTGACAGTTTTTAGGCAAAGTCTAAAAAAAAAACTGATCCCTTTGCTACTATTTGGCTTTCCTCTCCTAATTGTCTGCATACAGTTTGCAGTCTGCCTGTAGCATGGAATAGAGCATTCCTAGCATTCTCTGTAGATTTTGGTGCTAATCTTACATGCCTAAAGGAATGCAGTGTTTCTCCTTACAATGCTGAGTCTAATCATGTGAATATTGTACCTCCCACATAGTAGTGTACTTATTTTGAAAAACCAAGCAAATACTTTGGAATGGTATATGCCAATATCTACAGAACAGAAAGCAGGAAGGATCTTCTACAGTAATATTTTCAACAATCCATCTGCAGTATTTAGTTGACCTAGGGGGAGCTACTGGTGGCACTGCACTTTGAGATATACCTCTAGTTTTTAAATACATCAGTAAAACATTTATATATCATTAATATGAAAGGACCTGTATGCAGAATAATTTTTCATTTGCTTGCTGTATGCTTTAGTTTCTTGGCCACTGAGTCAAAAATTGACACCAGAGACTGCTGGGCAACCAGTGGTTTCAGCTCGCCAGTAATGGCAGCCTACACATTTTTCTCATGTTGTGTAGCAGAGTTGCCTTGTTGCAACGTAAGGTGCTGTTTCATTTTGTGATATTTCAGAAAGTTAAATGTACTCAATGTGTCCTGTTTGGTATGTGGTTGGTAACTCCTTTCTTCTCCCAATATGTTGTCAGATTCAGAGACACTTAGTTACTGTCCTGCTTGTGATTCCATCCCTCTATGTGTATCCAGCCCCAGAGTGCTACAGGCCTTTAAGAGAGTTTGGCAGGTGTGAGGCAATGGGTTGAAAATGACTCCATAGTAATATTGTATGGACACGTAACCAGTGCTTGAGGAATACAACAAGAAAATTACACATTACACCAGCAGGGCTGTAATGTTAACACAGATGTGTCTATTAAATGTCTAGGGTTCAAATAGTTATGTTGCAGAAGACCCATTTCCCCTTCATACCCTTTCCCAGACTTCCCACACATCTTTAGCCAATGAATATTGAGTAACGTGGATGTGTGCTTTTTTTAAACAATGCAAAGTAAACTTTTTGCTTTATGCCAATCTGTATTCAGCAGTTGGCTCAATACAAATCTTTATTACTGCAGACTGTTGTCCTTCCCAGCACTCATCAAAAGGGACTGTTGAGGCCACTTATGCACGCTGTTCTTTCTCAGTGCTTTTCAGATCCCTCAGCCTCTGAAGAGCCCCAAACACTTTTTACTGTATCTAATGTAGTGGATCCCAAAATATAACTGAAACCGAACACTAAAGGCAAAAGGGATCCAAAGAAGGACTAAGCAGTGCCATGATTCACAGTAACAAATAACTTTAATGGTGTTTAACAAACTGCACCATACAAAATGGAACCCATAAAAACATCAAAATCCCACAGAAAGTATTCCCCATCTACTCACGCTTTAGGATACACATTTATAAAATGCTTGCCGAGTAAACAGCGAACATTTAAGTTTTAGATTTGCTGCGTATTATGGTCACTAGATGGAGCTGGGGAGCATAGAAATGCATACACTACTTCCATTCTCTCTTTCACTGTGTAGTAAGGACTGTCATCGTAGGCCCAAGCCAATGTGTAAACATTGCTCTGTTTACATTCAGCCTGGCTTTAGTTACACAGCAAAAGGTGGAATGCAACATGGCTGCAGACTAGGAGTCAAGACGCATACATAGAAGTGTGCATAAAATTCTTTTGCTGCCAGAGCAAGTTGTTTAATTTTTGTTACACCAATGTTAAAATACAAATTTGTCGTTGGAAAATTCACGAAAGACCCCCAAAACTCTATTTTCCAAAAGCAGAAGGCCTGTAAAGTTTTAGTGTTTTAGGTTTTACTTTTTTTTGGTAGGTATATTTTTTTAAAAATATATATGCTTTTTCTTTTTTGTTTATTTTGGGGTCAGCAGCATGACCTTGTGACTGACAAAGGCAAAGCTGCCCATTGTTTGCAGCACATCACTGCATACTTGTGTGGTAACGTTTAGTGCACCAAAGCATCACATCCCCAACCTCCCTATTTCCGTCGCTGATAAAGTTAGGAAATCCATTCTATATTCATAATGTCAGGCAGGCGTAAGGGGAGAGGCAGAGGTTCTGCTCATGCTGCAAGTATGGGGCAAACAGGTTGTGCATCTAGAAATGAAAAAATGCACCAAGGATAACCTCTTGCTGCATTTCAAAATAATGCCAGGATCTCCTTTCATGCCCGAATGCCTCTGATCCTCAGATCACTAAAAGGACCACCAGTGGCATTGGCTGCCTCAGCTACACTTTATAGTCATTTTTCTAACCACAGAGGACAGGACCAGCTGTCGGCAGCATTCAGCTTATGATTGCTGACGACACTCTTCGGGGTGAGGGGCCAATGGGCTGTTTTGTGTCCAGGATGGACCACTGACTGACGTTTGTGCAGGACATGTTGGAACTTCTGGCCTGCCCTGGGGCCAGTGTGCTGTCTGAGGGGAGCTTCAGAACAGCAGGGAGTTTTGTGACAGAGACGAATCCACTTGACCCATGACACTGTGGACCGGTTCACTTTCAAAAATTGAACCAGTCCTGGACCAGCAATGCACACATGTTTACAGAACCCCTGCAGCTGATGCTACATACTAATTTTTTCCTTGTAATTTGGCCCCAAAAAAGTAGCTTAAACCAGTTCCACTAGGGGCTTCACGAGGCCAGGTGTCACCCGGAGCGGGTATCGGGAAACACCCCGCCGTGACGTCACGTTCATGTGCAGCCATCTTGGTGATGGACGCTGGCACAGAGAGGGGGGGATGTTCACGAGAGAGGAGGGGACATCCTACCGGGTCCCCTCCTCTCTCATGCAACTGTCAGGCTCTCGGTCCACGACCGAGTGCACGACTTTTCAGAGGGGGTGACACCAAAATTTTAGTTTCACTCCTCCAATGGTGTCATCCAGGTGCGGGCCGCATCCCCGTAGTGACGCCACTGAGTTCCACCATTCTCTTCTGCCGTACTTCAGTTCGTTGCCACACACATATTGTTCCAACAGCTGGGCCTCTGCAAAATTTGTAATATTTTCTACAAGGTAAAATATGCTATTTATCTCCGAGTTTGTGGCCCATTCCGGTGCTTTGGCATTCAAACGTATTTGTGGCTATTTTCAAAGTTAAAAGCTGCCTTATATCTTCCTCTTACATTCCAGCCTCATGAAGATCCTTACATACTCTCCAGTGAATGTACAATATTTGTTGCTATTGCCTCAGAATTAATACACTCATTTGTTTTCCCATAATAAAGCTTTGTTGATATTCAAGGGCTCCTCACAAAAGATTATAGTGATGCATAGACCAAGCCCAATGGGGTCTATATAAAGTGCATAAATCAAATACAATATATATATGTAAAAATAAAAGGACAACGAGAATGGTCTGGCATGTCATTGATCGAAAAAATACAAACCGTGAAAAATGCAACCATTGAAAATGATCTAGGACAATGGATTACAGAAAAGAAAAGTCTCCAGAATGTCAGAGCCGCAAATATAATGAAGCGGCCCCATGGAATTGTGTCATCCCCTGCATCCACTTAATTCAATTAATTTATTAATTTAATCTAACAATAGTTTTAGTCACAGTAAGGTACAGCTTTCTGGAATTTTCCGTGGTCTTTTTTTGGTTTCCCATTTCGTCTGTTTCAGGTTACCCTTAAAAGTGTCACTTCAATTCTGCCTGGAGATGGCTATCACTATGAAGATCTCAAGAATAAGGTGGTCGTGATTAGTTACCTAAGTTTGAGGGAAAAGTAAACAACCAACCAGCTGTGGGACTCACCTTTAAATGTTTACAGTCAGAAGCTCTCCTCAGCAGTGATCGTCTTCAACACAACTTGCCCCACCCTCCCTCCCTCCCATAACCCTTG